AGTTTAGTGCTCATTTGTACTTTCAGGGTTTCTTCCCAAATGAAACAGCATAATATAAGAAATGCATTCTTGTGAAAGAAAGAAGCCCTTTTGAATTATAGCAGTTGTTGCTTGGCTTTTGAGGGATCATTCACTTTTCAACATCCTGTTTTATTATGCCACCACTGTTTCTTAATTAGCTTTTAAAAGTGCTCAGTAATCCTTGTCTTAGGCTCCCTCTAGTGAAGAAACAGTATGCAACTGTATGTGCCGATCATGTGAAAAATTGCTGTGTGTTATAACAGATGTTGCATCACTTCTCCATGGTACTAAATGCACTAGCAAGGTCTGCACAGCCTGTAGAATAGACATGGGCTAACTCATTACTACTGAAGTATCTAGTGTCTCTCTGTGACTGCGGAAATTCCCATACATACACATTTGCATAGGACTCTACTCCATGGCTGAATAACTCATCGTCTCCTCCTAGGTGGGCTCTGAATTCACGCAGCGGGGTAGCTTGGTATGAGGTACAGTGGAGGTGGAGGGCTGCCTGAATAGCAGTTGCCGTGCAGTCATTCAGACTAACAGCTTCTTGAATTGATGGAAAAGGTGCAAAGAATGGAGAGGTCAGCTTTGCAGTGCTGTTCTATCCCTGCATTTGTCACTGAAAAATATACCAGGTTTAGAAACCTGAGTAGCTCTGAAAAAAAAATTTAAAAAAAAAAATCTATTTCCCTCACTGATACTGTACTTTACTACACAAGCAACTATACAGGCTGTTATTTGGCATAGTACTGGATAGTATAAATACAAAAAGTGTTACTATTGGATACAAAGTGATTCTGGCAAGTATAGCTTTTAAGGCATTAGAAATGTAGATGGTTTTGATATTTGCTATCTGTGGATGTGTAAATAATAGGACTCAAGCCAGGTCCCTATTTTCCATTCTGTAAAAACAAATAAATAAATAAAATATCATTTTTAGAAATCTAACTAAACTGCAGTGAGTGTTGCTATGTTTTCAGATGGTACTCATTTCACTACCTTGGTACAGCTACCTCTTAATTTCATTAAGGAACAGATATTCAAGGATGTAAACAAAGTACTTCTTGGGCCAACCTCAGTGACACCTCTTGGCATCTGCTACCTAGTTTTGCATAAATTACAAAGGACAATTTGCAGCTCAGAGCTTCACTTCTTCACAAAATGCCACCACACATCAAAATTTGCTTAATTAAAATACACTTACAAAATGGAAAAGTCTAATGTGGCTGGATATGGCATCACGTCCTGTGGGTCTTCCCAAGAGACACATGGCCACAGCCATTCTGACATCCTGAAATGGCTGACACCTGGCTTTGAGGGCAAAATCTGTAAGCAAAGAGAAAGCAACCTATAGCAAAATCTGCCATTGAACCTGTGGGGGCTTCCCCTTCTCTGGGATTTCTGGTTTGCATTTGAACAAGTCAAGGCAGTGTGTCGTGTTGTCAAGAGTCTGTAATGCTATTACAGGAGCATTTTAATTAGTCAATTTTGTATTTTTCTGAATATAGAAAATTCATCATCCAAGTACCTAATTAATGAATAGCTATTGCAGTGAGGCAGCTGGTGTCAATGAAGAACACAAGACACTTGTATCTTTTTATAAACTCCTTTTCACATCTTTTTAGAAAGCAAAAGGTGAAGGGCAAACAGGAAGGGCCTCTAAGAAGAAATACCAAGTTGTGCATATAGATCAGATCTAAACCCGCCTCTTACCCACCTGCTTAAAATAAAACACTAGACATCTGTCACTGCACTGAGTTTCAGTTTAATCCAGTTAAAAACTAATCTATACAAAGTACAGAGCGGGGCTTTTTTTTTTTTTCTACATATATTGCACTGGAGGATACGAATTTGTACAACATTGATGAGATCTTATCCCTTCATCCTCCTATCGAAATCCCAGCCAAGTACAAAACCATATCTCTGCATCTTTGTCTTGGAACTGGTGTCTGTATGAAGTTACATTCAATTTTCTTGTAATCACCTCCTAAATGAAAAGCAGAGTACAGGTGAAAGCACTGGTGCTTGTGATATTCCAGTTCCTTATTTATCTGTGATCATAGCTTTCTACTTCCTCACTTAGCTATAAGCTTAATAATTTTTTTTTCAACTTTAAAAAGCTCCTGAGAAATCAGTACCATGGTAGAAACATGCTTTTAATGGCTAATACTTTTAGTCTCTTTTATGGAAGAGAACCCAATTAAAAGAAGACATCAGCATTGAAAACAACAAACACATTAAAAAGCAACAACTCTGCTAAACATTTCACATGGAAGCATGACTTCAGCACATTGCATAACCTCTAAGGCAGATGTTCCTTGTAGTCAGGTAACTCTCTTATTTAAACCACACTTCAGAACTGATCCAAGAAAATAGTTTGGTGACTTTATTACACTCAGACGGAGACCTCTTTTAGCCTGGGCCGGAAGAACGATACCCTACCTCTACAGAGGAGGAGGAGATGGACCGTATTGGGTGAACGTTGTCTGTTGATAGACCAGACCTGAGGGACCACCTTTTGAAGGAACATCCACTCAGTCCTTGCTGTCTTTCTGGCCATGTGACACAGGTACCCATGCATATGAGATCTGTGAATTGGGTGGACGAGCATGAAGCTGTGATTTGGCCTCTCGTCTCAAAAACATTTAGGCAACAAACTTAAAAGACATGTTCAGTAGGAATTCAGTAACTTAAGCATAATTGAAGACTGAGGCTCTGACTTCCAATAATTTAGGGCAAATAATTGTCAGTTTGACTAAACCTTGATTATTGTTAGAAATAAACCCGATCACCAATTCTAAGGTTTAAAAAACTCCGTTTCCACTTCCAGAAATGAACAGAAAGTCTGTAGTATATTACTAAACTGCAAGCCTACTAATTAAATTAACAGTGACAAGAACAACATTTAGGTATCGGATGAAGGTAAAATGTGCACCATTTTACACTGAAAGCACCTCAGTGGCTAGCTGAAATGCAAAACGAGGAACTTTTGCTAATGCTAATTCATGATGAAACAAGTGAAAACTCTGGCTTCCCACAAGTGGCTCAGAGTCACCACTGACACTCATACACCGTGGCACGCAGAAGCCGAGTTCAGCACCCAAGTTAAAACAGTTCTTTACAAAACTCTGGATGTTTAAAAGTAAATGGGGTAAGAGGGGATATAATGCCTATCTCCAACAGCAGTGAGAGTGAGGATCTTACAATTAACATGTAGGAGGTTGCACTGAAACCAAAGCTTGAGCATTACATTACAAAGCATGTCATTACATATAATGACATTTGTTAGGAGGCAGATGTAGCCTGAAGGAATGATTTGTTTGGTAGAAATACCTTCACACGAAAGGTTTCAGTCCTTGATTCTCTACAAGTATCTGCGGTTGTATCATTTGTCCTCTCTAAACTTTCATGTGGGATAGGAAGAACACAAAAAAATTTCCCCTCACCTTTTCCACGACGTTTGAATAATTCCCCCTTTGTTTCCCTCCTTGCTCAGTTACCCATTATCAGGCTGTGCACTGAGAAACTCCGTTAGTCTGGATGTAGTTATAACTATGTCTGGGCCTCTTAGCAAACAGATGAAGTTGTTGAACGGTATTTTAGTCTCCTGACAAATATGTAATCAAACTGATGTTAGACTTGCATGGAAGTGACAAACAGTGGAGATGCTTGTTTTGGAAACTAAATTAAAACGTTAACCACTCGCATAGAGAACAAAAAGAAACAAACAAACAAAAGGTAAAAGAAGTCCAATTGTTTGAGTAGTATAAATGGAGGAAATGTGACATGACAACTAACAAGATGAAACAGATAAGGAAACCTAATCTCTTCCAGCAGTGAGTTCTATTATATTGCGTGGAGAACAAGAAAGCACTCAGTCCTGATGAAAGAAGCCTTAAATGTGAAAGGAATATGCCCAGCTTCTATCAATCAAAGGTCTGCAGAGTGAGAAACTTCCCAAATGTCAATACAAAATGTTAGTAATTGCCTCCTGTCTTTTTGTCTTTTTCGAGTTTGCCTAAAATATTCAAGTCTTATCCTGAAAGGAACATCCTTCCAAAACAGAGGCCTGCCTCTGTTTCTTTGCTCAAAACCCAAATGATCTCCTTTAATGACACTGTCAGCAGTTAGCCACAGAACAGGAAGGAAATGTAAAGGATGCTTGCCAAGGTGTGTGTGTATCAGTTCAAAGCCAGCACTGTACAATCAGAATAATCCCTGTTTGAAAAAACAACAAACAAACCCCCTACAAAAACCCAAGCAAACAAAAAAAAACCCCATCCCAAACAAGGTTTATGCTTTAGGATACTTTCAGTCTGAAATGAATGACAAGCAAGGACAATCACAGAACTTTTCGACATTATAGTAAAACCCACAGGAAAATTAACTTATTCTTGTAAAATCTTGGCTTACAATATAAGGGACCTATCCTGGTTCAATACCTAAATAATACAATCGAGTAGCACCCCTGTCTTAGGACACTTCATAAACTTCCACCAACTGCTGAAAGACTAGTAAGAGTTAATAGTGAGACTCTTAATAAGTCAAAGATTCATGTCTGAGAAGAGCTTTCTGAAGCATGTGGTGCATTTTGAAAAATCTGGTATTATCATAGGAGGTAGGATAATTTGCACAGAAAAAGACAGTGAGTCTTGTTCTGTTTTGCACAACATTTCCATGAACATAAAAAGCTTACTTAATAACATGCAAAATTTTGAGATTAGCTGGCACCTGATGAAAGAAATGGGCAAAAGTACTGTCCCAAGAGCCAGTTGAGTATTCAACTGCTACGCAGAATTAATCTCAACAAGGAGGACGGTTCAGATCAATACACCAGAAGTACAGTATTCCTTTTGAAGGCTTACAGTGAAATTCTTAGGCTTCTGTAAACATGAAAAATATTCACTGTTCCACATAATTCTTTGCTGTGTTTAGATTTTTAGAAAGTGCAAATTTTTCTGTAATTAAGGATTAGAAGTTTGATTTTTATTTGGTCTCAAAGAAGAAAGGGTTTGGTAGTGCTGGAAATGGTAGGCCTTATCTATGGGCTTCGTTTCCCCACATTTTGCTTATCAGCATTTCTGGAAAGAGTTTCTACATAAAACTAGACCTAAACTGGCATTCAGGCCAGTTCCCTGCTCCTCTCTGAGAAGATTCCAATTTGTGCCTAAACAGAATGACAGATGTCTCCTCCCTTTTGTTAAGAGAAGAGTTCAACAGCTCAGTCCCCTGGCCATAAAAACCTTTTAGTATTAATAGTTTCCTTAATTCCTCCTCCATTATAGCCTCAAAATTATCCCCTTGTTGTGTTTCTTAGCGATGCATTGGAGAGAAAATTAGTTTAATTTCTGATTCAAATCTGACTGATACTTCATCTCTAACATTCTCATGATTTTACAGTCTGGGGAAGAAAGTGGAGAGTTCATGTTTCACTCTGATTTCCTGCCCACCCCCCACCCCCCTCCCCTTTTAATAAAGATGCTATAAAGTTGAGGCACAAGTGGTTAAGGGTGAACTTGATCAGTTCTAGCAGCTGGTTCCTGGACATGTCCTGGTGGTAAAGGCTGATCACCTCCCGCAGGATGTTTTGGTGCATCTCCAACTTTGTGTTCCCCAACTGTAAAATAAGAATAAAACCATTTGTAACTTCTCAATGAAATTGACCTCAAATGTAAAAAGTCTGGACAGGAAAGTTTCTAGTGTAGGGACAATCAAACAAAACCTTTTTTTTTTTTTTTTTTTTTGTAAGTGCAATCAAGAATTTAGTATTACAATGACACTATCTTCTTCTGAGGGTGTTGAAGCAATTGGTCATTCATACTGTCTAAAACTAACTTGTCATGTCATATTGTACCCAACTGCTGGTAAATTGGCCACAGATAGACTTGTTGAAAGCATTTAAATGCTTTGATTTGTTCTGCAGTTGAAGACTGCTAATGCAGCCATTAAACATCAGACAGACCTGGTCATTTGTATATCCCTATTATTCTCTGGATGCTCAGAAATCCTAGATATCATAGATATCAATATTTTTAGACTGATAGGTATGGCACAATCATCCTCCTCTGCCCATTTGATACCTTGAGTTAGAATTCAGTTTTTTTACTATGGATTTGAAAGCACTGAGATTTCAGGAAAACTTTAGAAGAGTTCCATACTTCCCTCTTAAAGACAGTTTAGTAAAACTCTCTACAGAGATCATTAAAACCACATTATATTAACAGTTTCAACAGAAAATATAGTTTTAATGACTTTTACATTGGAGACCTTATTTTAAAATTTGTGTATCTACATAGAAAGATACGTACGGGGTTGGAATTTCAGTTCTCCAGCTGGTCCTGCAGGAGGATTTCCTTGCTGTAGTTTCTTTTGTTCCATCTGTTTTACAACCTGGTGAAAAATAAAATACCACAGTTGAAAAACTTAAATCTATCAACTTTCTCTGATGTGACATAAATGAATACACTGAAAACAAATTTTTCAGTCATAATGTAAAGTCTTTGATAATGGGTATACTGAGTTGAGATGCTTGTGTTGTTTGCTATAATCCTGAATACTAGATTATGTTTTGCTGTAGTACTATTAGAATTCAGCTGGGACTGACATAAGAAATCAAGGTAAAGAATGCTCCAGAGTTGGGGATTGTCACACATATAAGGATACAGAAAAGGAAAAAAAAAAAAATCTGTTCTCTTAAGTGTACCTGCTGAAGCTCTTGCTTCTGAGCCTGAAGCTGGTCATGCTGCCTCTGTAGCTCTTCCTTCTGCTTCTGAAGATCTTCTGCCTTCTTTCTAATCCTGCTGAGAAATATGACTTTCAAACTCTTTCAGCTCATCCTCAGTGAAAAGCTGCTGTTGATCTAGTGTCTGCAAGAAAACAGATACAAATGTGAATACTTAGGCAG